AATAGTGTTGAAGAACCTATGTTATTCATCAATCTGATCCCCATTGTCCACGTAGAACCCAAAATATACTAGGCCAAAATTGTACACGCATCTTTAACTCTTTTCACAGGTGAAATTAAGCACAGTTCCAAACCTTACTCCGTCATGAGACTTGAATAACAGAACATAGGTATAGCTTCAAGATAGAATGAAGCAGTATACAGTACAGGAGCATAGAATAATTTTTTTATGACAGATCTGGTTAATTTGAACACACTCCAAATGTGAAAAATTGCAAAGTTTACGAGGCAGTATAACTAAACATAAGTTTCCATTGTATTTGTGATTTGTGTCCCTGGTTCAAGTAGCTGATATTACAATGAGGTGAACTGTGGTGTGTTTAGCCCCCAGCATCATCCCTATAGCCAGACCATGGAAAATTTGATAGTGTCTGACCAGTCAGTCAAAAAGGTCACCAGTCAGCATGACCGGACTATAGCCTTGCAATTTAGTCACAGGCCGGCTAGAACTATGAGGTGAGTGAAAAGCACTCACCTCATACTTCTCCTTTAGGCTGGGTTCCCACCCAGGCGTTTCGAAATATGCATGTATGACACGCGTTTTGGGGTGCATGTTTTAACCGCGATTTGCAGCCCTCAAAACGCGCGTCAAATGCGGGTTTACGCGGGCTATCTGGCTGGATCATAATGGATACGCGCGGGAGTAGGGCGTTTTTCAGCACGTTCCGACACGCTGAAATACGCCTAGGTGAGAACCATGCCCATAGGAAATAATGGGATTTCATTTGCTAGGCGTTATACAGCACGTCGATCAGCGCTGTAAAACGCCCAGGTGTGAACCCGGCCTTAATGGCTCTAAAATTATTGCTCTCACTCCGACGTTTGCGGCAATATGCAACATGTGCAGCACGTAGGCGCACCTGACCCATATATGCGTGTGTACGTGGGGGGCGGGGACTTAAAAAAAAGTGCTATTACATGGGGGGCTAAGATGCCCCCTATGGGATAGCCAATTTACATGACAGGTCCTCTTTATGGAGACCTCTTAATGTCACCTAGGGACTCCCAGAGAAGCTGATGAAGCAGAGATCGGCTTCATCAGCTTCTGTAGCTGGAGAGTGACACTGAATGCAGGAAGTGATGTAATACACATCGTATACTGAACTCCCTTTGATCTCCTGTCACAGAGCCGTGCCGGTCCCGGCCGCTTCGGGCACAGCGGATCTCAGGACCGGCAACGGCAGTGACAGCTGCTGATACAAGCGATGGAGCGTCTCTCAAGACGCTCGATCGCTTGACTGTAAAGCTCCTGGCCGGCCGTGTAATTACAACGGCCGGCCGGGAAGCTGCTCGTCGGGCTCCACCGTCTGCTCGTCACAGACGACCAGATTAGTGGATTTTTCAAGCCCTGCCTATAGCTATCTATCTATAACTGCCAGTATTTTCCTCACATCTCTGTACCCTTAAAGGAGAACTATGAGGTGAGTGCTTTTCACTCATCCTCATACTTCTAGCCGACCTGTGACAATGAAAGGGGACTGGATTCCCCCTCCCCTGTCCGATCCTCCAGCGCTGACTGGCAGAACGGACGGGGGAGGGGGCGGCTACAGCTGGCTCTGCCTCTGGATAGGCAGAGCCAGCTGTCACTCACGCAGCTGGGTGAATCCAGACATAATTGTCGGGGTCCGCTTCAGCTGCAGCTGTAGCTCGCGGTATACTGAGCTTAGGATGACGGGAGGATGCTAGTTTGTGTCCTCCCGTTAATCTAAGGAGAACTATGGGGAAAAGGCCTAACCCCATAGTTCTCCTTCAACAAATACAAAGATAAAATAAAATAAATGCCTTAAAGTGATTTCTGAGTTGAAGTAATTTTTATTTTTTTCCCCCAAACATATTTTCAAACAAATAGTAAAAACTTTGGTTTTAACCTCTTGCCGTCCGCCCGTAGTAAAAAAACGGACGGACGGCACTGCAGCATTGGCGGGTTGCCGTCTCCAGACGGCAATTTTTTTCTGCTCGCGATTCAACTGGTTAAAGAAAGTGAAATGCTTTCCTTGGTATAGCAATCTGCTTATTCAAGCCATCCATGATAATTTGTACAGCTGGGAAACAGTCATTACTGCATGACTGCTGGATCACTTCATTTTCCAGCTGCTGTTTGACTGCTTAGTAATATTTCCAAATACATCTTACAGTACACAACAGGCAGCCTCAGTGTAGACTTCCAATGTATTTATCTGCATTTCTCCACTCAACTGTGTAAATACAGACACACTGTGAGCTCTTGCTGGGAACAAGCAAATAATGGTCATTGGGAAGTCCTCCACAATACACATAAAACTTTTAAGTCAAATCTCTTGTAGTCACTTGTGTTCAGCTTATTTCATGCAAGGATTTTTATATTTTTTTAACGGACTTTAATCGTGCTATAGCCATATAATAGCCATATAATACCACATAGAAAACATATGTCTCTCTATGTATGTATTCAAAGGTTTAATTAGTGTGTTAAGAAATCTGAAACCTTTAATCACTGCTCTACATTGCAGAGCCAAAAAAAACATTCTGTATATGCATTATAAACACTGTAATTTTAATTGATAGTGACTTTCCACTGAATTGGCATATACTGTATTTTCAAGTGCGCTTTATGTAACAAAATGTGAGATAGCACAATAATAGTCACTTTGCTTTTTGGCATCAATTAATTTACAGTAGTTCCTTTTTTATTGTTGTTACTGTAAAATGTTTAAACTTCTTTTCTATTGTAAGATTATAAAGCATACAAATAACAATGGGTATATAAAATAATTTTACTCTCTGTTACATCTAACTGTATTGTGAACAGTGGTAATAGAGGTACAGTTTGGATATGATTTTAAGAATGATTTAAAGAATTGCACTGGGTTAATGCTATTGCCATGCTATAAAAAAATAATTTCCAAGTCTAATAATTGCATCTTATTGCCCCTAAAAAGCCAGACCACCAAAAACTGATATTTCAGATTTTGGTAGATGTTGGAGAGTTGGAAACCCAGATTTCAGTTTCTTAACCCTTTCAGAGGCTGCAGGGTTGAAACCTTTGAACATCTGCCATGCCTATTTCAAGGAAATTCTGGAGGGTTCATGTTGTTCTATATTGCTATATTGTAGAGAATGCAATACGAGAAGTAAGCACACCCAGGGAATGACTGGAAATGCCCAAAACAAGACGGCAAATAGCAGATAAGCCAGGAATTTTGGCAATTCTCATTCCTGGAATTCCTAAGGCCCCTTTTTTGATGGCGAAAAAAACTTACCACATGTCGGTCTATGGGAATCGGATGTCTGTTTACATCAGATTACCCCAATCCATCGAAATGGAACACTGTTTTTTGCAGACCTGGCCAGAGTTGGGGTTAACAAGATGTAAATGGACACTCGTCCGTTTAGACCCAGATGCCCATAGACTAGCACTTGGCGTTTCCGATCGGGTCCACCTGAAAAAATGACAGGCAGACCCGATCAGACCTAAGAGTTATGAGCAGCCAAAGAGATAATCAGCCCAGCACACTCCACATAGAGACAAAATGTAACTTTTGGGTTGACTGGCCCATTAAAAAGCACCACCACTCAGCAGCTTTGAGTGGAGCACTATTATGCCAAGAAGACTGGCATGCTAGAAGGCATTGTTGCCTAAAGTTGGTGCTTTTAAAGTAGAGGCCCAAACACTTCCATCATGTTGCTTTAATAGAGAAATCTCTCTTAATAACCTGCCCATCTCATCTCTCCCCTGTCCATTTCCAGAATGATTTGTATTTTGTGAATGGACAAAGGAGTGGAGGGGCAAATAAAGAATAGTGTGGCTTGTGTGTAGGAGAGTAACAAGTCTGCCCTGGGAGTCCCAGAAGTATAGTGTAAGCTATACTTCCTGGCATGAGTAAAAGTGTAAATTGTAAAGAACAGTCAGTGATTCAGAATGTTCCATACACCTCATTTCCCTTAACTATTTGTTACCCAGCAGATTTTAAGTGGACATTTTTTTCCAGGAGGTGTTTTTTGCTCATATAGCAGGCACCTTGTGTTGTCCATAACTACACTGTAACATTTATTTTACCAGCAAAACTCCCAATAGTATGCACATGTTTCATATAGGACCCAAAACCTCCAGGAAGGTAAGTTTTTACCCAGCTGTGCCACAGAGGGGTGAAGGGAATCCCTTAAGAGGGGTTCTAATCTTTGCCCACTCAATTCAAAATTAGAACATACACACACATACATTTAGGAGCCATATACAGTATGTACACCCTAATCAATTAAACCAGTTGGTCATTCCTGAACCGATTAGGTTTGTAATGTCATTGAATGTACATCATATATGTACAGTTTCCTAACACGCAATATTTACTCAGTTTAACATTTTCTAATTGGAAGGAATTTTGCAGTATATGTATTACGAAACATTACTGAAACATATAATTAGCACATTATAGAAATCATCTTTTCATTTTATGGGATCTTTGCTTTAAAAAGCATAAATAGTTTGGAGGAACTTGAAATGCTTGCTGTGTGTTTTGATTTTTTTTGCTGCACATCAAAAACCTTAATGATGGCTTGGTCAGCTTGAAAAAAAAGGAAAGCAGCACAAGGACAATGATTTCAAATCACATCCTTCTCTTGGAAAGAATTTGGACTGAACTATATAAAATGTATTCTAGAAACCTCTTTCGTATCATAAAAACCAAAAACAAAAGATAATGCTCTTTGTTTTTGCTTACAGCTGTAAAATGTATGAATTGTCTTCAGGACTACACGTACCTTAGTATTGTAATGTGGCTTATAAAGTTGTGCTTCAAACATCATGAATATTAAAATGTTGGAACACACTAAGAAAATGCTTTTTCATCATCAATACCAGTTGATGATGGATTGCTGGTGGATACAGTATCTACTGGAATACAAACATGACTAACCCAAATCATTTTGTAGGGTATGAGTAAAGACAGGAACCACATTACTTACCCTGGCTGTGTGTCATTAGTAACACAATGATAAGTAAAAGTTCCAAACATTTGAACTCCAAGAATTCCATAGAGGAGAAGAAAAAATAATAAAAATATGGAGACGCTCCAAATTTGTTCTCCTGAGCGCCTGTAATAAAATAATTTATAATTTATTATAATACATAAGAGCATATCCTCTACAAGTCATTTCTTATTGCAGTGTACTTTTGACCTCAGTAGCTAAATCTTTTTCCAGGTTCATTTTCCTTTTTTTTGCAAAATGTAATCTGACTGTTGTGAATGTGTTATTGCTAAGGATGACTCAGCTACAAGGTTTGCTTTTGGCTTTGTACCTGGATTGTGTTTAGGCATGATGCATCAGTTGCCTCTATTAGCACCCACTGGGGCAAGGGCAGATTAAAGGCAACTGATGCCCTAAGTATAGCCCAACAACCCTCTTGGCCCTTCCATTGCTAAACTGGCAAGATATTAAGACTCAACAAATGCTAAAATTTAAATAAAAGTTTGCAAATTCAAGAACCTTCTTCTGTTTTCTTCCAGGTCAGCCCTAACAACTGTTAAAAGAAAACTCTATTTACCAGATTGGGCATGGATCAAAATCAAGCAACTGACTGAGACCTTTTGTCTAGAAATGATGAGCAAAATTAGTTCTTTGATAAATAATAATTAACAATTAATCAGTCTATGGGGCTCATCCACCTTTATCTCCCAGCTAGGAATAGTCTATTAATATATATATAATATATGTTAATATAATTAATACACAGTTTATGGTGGAGGCCATGGCAGTCAAATTGCAGTAAGTATATCTGTGTAGGGGGAGGGTGGAATCAGTTAGCTGAGGGCAAAAAGGATAAGTGAACTTTACTTTTGAGAAATATACATTAAAACCTTTGTTGATCTGATGTTGACTGATATTTTGTTCTTTTTATTTTATCATTCAGAAGAGGTAATAGACAATTGGGTTTCTTCAGCAAATGAGTTTAGGGGGTAAAGAACTAAGAGTAACGAGAAGTAACCAATCAGAAACTATTTAGAACTAGCCTACTTTCAGATACAGTTTGCTTACTATGGGTAAAGTGTTTTTTTCTTTGCAGCATTTACTTAATACACCCAAACATCTAAAACTGTTGTGTGACTTTACGCAAAAGGTACCTCTTAAAGTGTATTTCCACTTTTGCAGTCAAAATCCCTCTATATATTTATGTGTTCCCATTGACACAGCATAGCGAAAAATATTTTTTTTAAACATATATCTTATCTTTTAGATGTTTTGTTGCAGCAGGCAACAAGGCTGATTTCAAGTTTTTCTGAGCCCCTTCACGGCGATCTGCCCTTATAGAAAGACTTAGGACTGAAATTTGTGAATTGTTTCTCTCAGTAATAAACAATGCAATCCCCTCTCCCCTCATAGCCCCTCCTAATATTACAAAGAAGGAAAAACAAGTAGACATTTTAACCCTTAAGAAGCCAAGAAACCCTAACCCAAATAAAAGCAACTTAAACTGCCTCACGGCATTTTTTAAATATTTTTTTTGAACGTATGCTATGTGAAAGGGAACATGTAATAAATATAAAATAGAAAGTATCCCAATTTGGCTGCAAAAATGGAAAAACACTTTAAAGTAGTTATAAAAAGTAGATCTCTCTTTAAATATACATACTCTCTTCTATAACTCAATTGTTTTGCTTCTTCACAGCTACCAAAATATTTGTTTACCTTGCAGAAATGCGGTTTCCCTGTCTCAGCGCTTCCCTGAGTTTCCGCTCTGGGAACGCACACAATCTCTGGTAGAAGCCCTGGCATTAGAAATACATGTACCATGAACACTTGTGCATGCATTCTTCTGTTCATGCGCACTTTAGTTTCAAAGACTCTCTGGGGTTGATTTACTAACCTTTTAAACACACCACGAACGTGTATACACCTCTGTAGTGTGTTCCCTCCCAGCATGATCTATGGGAGGAATCGAAACACCTTTGTAGTGTGTACACACCCAGCAGGTGTGTTGTGCAAAGCCCTGCAATGAATTGCAAGGTAATGTGGTGTAAATTATCTCTATGTTATGTTGCTTGCGTTGATGAATGCAGGAATGTAAATGCATGAGCTAACCATTTTTGTCTAAACTGTGAAGCAGCATTATATATGCATCATGTGCATGATTTTTTTCCATATATGGCATTAGTGGAAATATGCTTTTAGAGACTTTTTGGTTGATAAATACGTTTTGCTGTGTGAAAATCACACACACCTGGTGTGTGTGTGTGTTTAGGTTAGTAAATCACCCCCTCTATGTCACCTGGGCTTGTCTGCAAACAGAGTGGCTTCACATCTGGCTGTAGTTCTTGAATGAGCACACATGTTGCGGTGGCTGCGGTAGGGCTCCATAGAGACCCAACAAGTGAACGAAAAATAGAAGTATCTTGAAGTAATTTTTAAATGCACCCTTAGCTGAACAGATGTAACTCTGAACAAAAAGCCTCACCATAGAAGATTTAAAGTGAGTGTGGGTAGAAGAATATAGTTTCTTATTTGGATTTAATAAAACTTTAACCATCCATACACATCTAATGATGACAATTTTGGATGCAAAATGTAAATAAATAAAAAAATCAATAAATATGCAGCTAACATATGTGGTTAAGTTCCATGTTTCTTTTAAATTGCAATTTTATATAATGCTTATTTAATATAAAAGTTATTCCTAAAAAAAAAAAAAAAAAAATTAATAATGAACATTCTATCTATAGTTGTATCAACACTGAGGATACAGTCTCATATGGTAATTAGCTAGGATGTATCTTAAGGCACTTTAACATCTTAATTAGTTGAATGCAAATCAGGAAATTAAATCTCAGACCTTTAAGTAATATTAGGGAATTTTAATAAGCAATCTGACAAGTGACAAGTTTACTTTTGAGGAACAAAATCATATGAGAACGTATTTCTTGAATATGTTATTTGAAATTCTCAACTCTTCTGAAATTAATGTACAGTATGAGAAAAATTTACAAATTAAACTAATATTTTAGGAATACCAACATGCAAATTTGTTAGTTCTAGCATTACTTTTGGATTTTTTAGGTTTATTCATATTTGATCACCGAGTATTTGAACTGAATCTTACATACCATAAAGCACACCTTGCTCTCCACCTCGGATCCAACTATTTGTGACAAGTATTGATTATTTTTAACAAGCTAAGTCACTTTGAAATTATAGTATACTAGACACCACATTAACAAATGTGCTGCATTTAAAGTATCTAGTTGTAGCAACTGGGAGAGACATCAAATCGGCAGCAATGTAGATTTTACTTCCAGACCGCTCTCAGCAGAGAATCCTCTTTATGCAGGTAACGATATTTTCTCTTCTAAGGAATAAGGTGTTCAGTGCTCCAGGGAAAAAAAAGATTTACCCTTGCATCCTCCCTACCCCAAGGGTTAATTCCTTTTTTTGGCTAGGGGATGATGAATAAGGTGACATACTTACCTTACTTCTCACTCCCCTTGCAGCAAGCGCTCTCCTCCACTGTATGACACCCTGGAATGTGGACAGACCCTCAGCCTCCTCTTGTATATGAGTTTTCAGCTTTTATTGTGTCGTGTGTCAACATGGTGTAATTAGTGCAGTGTCTTTGACGGCTCCAGTATATTGGTAGAACTGGAAAAAAGTTAAAAACTCATACAGGAGAGTATCTTTGAAACATTAAAAATGGATTAAAGTGACACTAAACTCAGACCAAACCGGGCGGCGGGAGGGGCGGTGGGATGGCGCTGATACCCCCCCAGATTGGGTGGGCTGCATAGTAAGTGTATGACATGTTGTTTTTGCTATATATAGTCATTTTGTCTCATTTAGAAAAGTTATCGTTTCAATTTATAATTGCTTATCATCCTGAGTTAGAAGCTAGGAGTGACATACCACTCCACTAGTATCTGGCATGGAGTGGGGGGGGGGGTGAGTGGGACCCCGCTCTGTTTAGTCACACCCCCACTTAGGTTTACCCATCCCCAGGGTAAGGACCCTACGGTGGGCGTATTTTGGGGTAGATACCCCGTTAGATTGTTTTATCTGTTTCCCTGTCCTTGTCTGTCACATTCTCCATCTTCTCGATTTTCCCTTTCTTAACTCTTCATCTCTACATCCTCTCTCTCCGCCCTTTGGTCTCTCCTAACGAGCCTCTACACTACCCAAAGATAACCGAAGCAGGCGACCATGCAGTCCGTGTCCTGCAAGGTGGTGTCCTGGAACGTTAAAGGCCTGAAAATTCCGGAGAAGAGAACAGCCGTCTTTAACGAACTTCAACGCCTAAAGGCACAGGTAGTCTTTATCCAGTAAACGCATTTTCAGGTGTCCAAAATTCCGAGATTTCATGATCACCGCTTCCCATATGCATATCACTGTGGATCGCCTGACAGCAAAAGTAAGGGAGTTAGTGTTGTGGTGCACAGGACAGTGGGATGGAATTTTGTGGATGCTCGCTACAGCGCGGAAGGCAGGTTCATCTCTGTGAAGGGCAGCATTGGTCACACCCTATGCACATTCGCTAACATCTACGTACCCAATATGTGCCAGATTCCTTATTTGGAATCTACCCTGGAGCAACTAGGGGACTTTGCCGAAGGGGTCTTAGTACTGGGAGGGGATTTAGGTCCACCTCCCATATCTCCTACTCTGCTCTTCGGAGGGTTAAGAAACACATGCGACAGTACCAGCTAGTGGATGTTTGGCGCCTGCTACATCCTAGAAAACCATGCCCAAAAAAAGAATACATTTTTAAAATGGCAACTTTACCCCCAAAAGGGGTAAATGTTGACATAGACTTAAATTGCATAATTAGAGTTGAATAGATGCTATTGGATATGACAATAGCTGACAGACCTTTTATTAGTTGTTTATACTTCACAAATGTTGTTTTAGGAGAAGTGTTAATTGGTTATATATGTTGGAAAGCATGTTGCTATGTGATCACATTTTTGTAACTCTATACATATTACAGAATAGTGTGTTTATGGGTTTAAATGTTTTTAGGGAAGAGTTGGTTTGTATAGTATGTGTATTTAAGTGATGTCCACTAGTATGTCTGTATCCCCTGAAGGTGCCTTTTCCTGCAAAACCTGGGTCAGGTTAATGATTTGATGCTTTTAATTGCAATCGGAATGTAAGTATATTAAAACATTTATTTTCTATATTCTTTATCTACACTATTTGATGGGATGGGATTGTGGATGCACTGACAGTGTGAATGTTCACAGATCTTGGATTCTACTCTGCTAACCTGCAGTGAGAGAGTGGTGGATCCAATTTATTATCCAGCAGGAAAATTCAGTTAAAGGAGGGGCAGGAAACAACTTATTTCTTGGGAGTAAGAGACATTGAAGGAAATTAATCAAAACTGGAGCATACCAAAACTGGAGCAGCTGTGCATGGCAACCAATCAGCCGTTCTCTTTCATTTTCAAATCTTAACTGAGCAAACTGAAGAGAGAAGCTGATTGGTTGCCATGCACAGCTGCTCCAGTTTTTGTCTGCTCCAGTTTTGATAAATTCCCTTCATCATCTTTACCTACATAAAGCGGATTCTCTGCTGAGTGGCCTGTAAATAAAATCTACATTGCTGCAGACTTTCTTATTTGCTACAATTAGACAATTCAAATACAGCCAAAGTTTGTTAGAGCTCTTTCACACAGACTTTCCAATCAGGTCTGTCTGTCAGTTTTTCGGGCGGACCTGATCGGAAGCACAATGTTAGTCTATGGGCAGCATGATCTAAAATATCCAATTACCCCGACTCTGGCTAGGTTTGGAAAACCAAACAGATCAGAGTTCTGTTTCGCTAGAACTGATTATGCTAGATCAAGGGTAACTTGATGTAAATGGACACAAGTCCGTTTAAATCCGATTCCCCATAGACCACCATGGGTCCGGTAATTTCAGTTTTCGCAAGCTGAAGGTAAAAACTGGACAGGCACGGATGTCAAAAAGTGACATCCGTTCCAATCTGCAGGGGATCCATGCATGGATCACCTCCTGATCAGACCGTGTGAAAGGGGCCTGACTGTAGTGTCTATGATACTATAGTGTCAAAGTGACTGTTTGTGGAAAATTCTTGATACTTAGCAGAAACAGATGGCCCTGAGGTGGAAAGCACAGGGTGCTTTATGGTATGTGTTTTATATAATGTGAGTTTGGCTGGACTCTGCACTCCTGCTGCTGGTAAAACAGTGTTTTGTTCATACATATTAGTAGACCACATATTAGAATATATATTTATACTGAAATGAAGAAGGAAAAGCTTACTTTAAAATATTTGTTATCCTAGTTCTTGGTAGCTCAAATCGGAAATAAATGCGGAAAGCTCGAATCATTATCAGAGGGCGTGGAATCCTCAACATTCCCCATGGAGACATCTGATCAACTACTTCTGCTATTTCAAATACCTGGTTGCATAAAAAGTAAATAAAATTAGGCCACAAAATGATGTTTGTCACTTTAACAAAAATATATTACATTTCTACTCCTGTATGACTATTCATCAATACCCATGACTGGTCCAAAAACATCTATTTAAAAAAATATATATTTACATTTTTACTTTATTATTATTAATTGATAGAAATGGATGAATCTGCCCACGTTTGATTCCTCACAGGGTTTAGCAAATCTTGTTTAAAATGTGGCATACTCGAACTTAGAGGTGAATCCCATTAATGTCTATGGGGTAGGATAAATCGTGTTGCTAAATTCTGACCATTTCTAAGACTAGTAGGCAAACTATTGTTAAAAAAAAAAAGGTTTGAGGAGCTGGGCACTGCCATGGGCAACATATACCAATCTAAATAAGTGTATTAAAAATACTGTACATCAGGGAGAGGATCTTTCCATGCAGCTTTGAGGGCAACATTGAAAATACACAAATCCTTTTAATAAGATGCTTGGAGATACCTTAAAGCTGTACATGGTGTTACAGAACAGTATGATTTTGGCTGACAGTCACAGAAACAGTGTACACTGGCAACATATATTTGACTGTGGAATCAGTGGCAGCAACCCAAAAGTTTAATCTAGCACCCCCATAGCACCTTCAGAAAAAACAACCCTAGGCCCCTGCTTAATGACCACTGCAAGCGCAGGGCCAGGAAGAACTACCTCTATAGCACTGCTCAGCCTTACTCTCTTCAACAGCCACCCATACCATGCACTGTAACACCCTGAGCCAGCCACCTTTCACTAGTGTATAGATATAAGTGATTCTGCGCTGGACCTAAAAAAGTGCTAGTGTGCCAATTTAGTTTGAAGGCTGCAGCAAAATCGACCGTAGGGTCAAAACAAATAACTTACAAATTATGCAGTGCCCGCAACATGTAATGTGTTGAATGTCATAAACCCTAAAATTAATTAAATATAAGTATAAAATAATTCTAATAAATAGATATAATAAATATAAGTGATTCAGAT